CGTTTTATCAGGATGGTGTGCTTACGGTTGTGGTCGAGAAGCTGCCGCCGCCAGAGGCCAAGAAACCGAAGACCATTGAGGTCAAGATCGGCTCGCACCTGCCACAGGGTCAGGAAACACCGGGCCAGGAAGGTAGGACTGGCTCTGACGAAGCACAAGCTCAAGAAGCACAGACACTAGGCCAGGAAGTAAGGACTGGCTAAGGGGTGAGTTTTATGTCAGATAGTCTTGTTAGGAGGAGCTTCGGGTGTTGGTACTACTCGTCTTGCCGTTTAAGTTTAGTTGTTTTGTGCAAATATGTATGCGTCCATGGAGTATGTGTTTGCTTGTAAATGTTCTTATGGTTTTGGGCAGGGCCTACTGTAGAATAGCCTGTGTATATGGGGAATGATAAATAAATCTTCAGTTTAATGTGCTTTTCTTTTGCTCAGTTGACGTTATATTCATCGATCTTGCCAGTTATAAATGAAGTCATGAACACCGACTTTTAGAACAGCAAAGTAATAAATCTAAAAAATTGGAACTTAAATACATATCGAGAGATTAGTGGGTTTTAGTAGAATTTTTAGTGGGATTTACTCAAAGCCCATTCAAGAGATATGTATATTTGGGTTTTAAGTTTTTAGTTTTATAGCTTTTTTTTAGAATCCAATGGATTCAATGGTTCAAACTTGAAAGACAAAAATCGACAGAACTGCTTGTAATTTTAAATTGAGAGGTTTAGGGCCTGTTTGCATACCTCTCCGGAAAAAGTATTCAAAAAATTATTCTCAAGAATAGTTTTAGAGAAGTGTATTTTATTTTTTTTTAATTTTAGTATTTATTTGGTTATATATGATTTTAAAAAAAAAATTAAAAGATAAAAAAAAAGTAAAATATTAATACTAATTAAATAAATAATTAAAATATGGGATATAGTTTGAATAGATTCTTTGGTAAGAATCTTCTAAAAAATAACACGAGGGTGAAAGGAGAGTTTCAATGTGTTATTACGGTTTTTTCTATCAATGGATATTTGTGTTAGCGTATTTTTGAATTGTGGGTGTGTTAAAGTTTGATTAACTTATGATTTAAATATATATGATTTTATTTATTTGAATCGGTGTAAAGTTCAAAAATTGTGACTACTAAGACGATTGTAACGAGAAATAAGATTACTTTTGAATTCTTTTTTATGCTTTCGAGTTCAAGGACTTTAAATGCTAATATACTTCTGAGTTCTTTTCTATATTTTTGGGTTCAATGAATTTAAATAATTTTTCAACTAATAACGTAATGTACTAGAATGTAAAAAAAAAAAAAGAATGCAAAGCAGTAGATTAACCAAGTTTGAAAGCCAAAACAAGTAGTGTATTTAACATTAAATGGAAGCAGTAAAGATCCCCAACATGATGAATTATTGCAAAAAGTAAAGTTGCTTGAAAATAAAAACAAATAAGAGGGGAGGTTGACTTTGCGTAGAGTTTATTGTGTTTGATCGTAGATCTTTTCTTTGTAGTCTTGTCTTTGTTGTTTATAGGAATGACTCTCAACTGTAAAGCAATTTTTTTTTTTTACCATGATTGTAATCATGGCATTTTTTCTCGAGAAATGCATATATGTATTGGATCGTCTCAAACTGAAAGCTTATGATGTCGTATCTCTCCATTTCTTAGGATTCTTAGAGTCCCACTTCCTTAACCGTCTTATCAAGTATGGGCTCTCACATGCTCTTTCATAACGGTTAGATTGTTTTCATGTGTCATTGTAACGCCCCAAAAATCATCCTGGAAGGCATTACCTTCTAAAAACATTCATATCATGGGAACAACTAATAAAATCCATAAATAATCGGAAGTCCTTAATTTAATAAAATTCGGGCAGAATCTCCTTTGTTCGGGGAGCTCTACCCAAAACACAACCTGTGCAATTATACTACATTAATCACACCGGGTCCATTTATCCCTAAAATATTTACAACATTATCCAAAAGAATAAGCCCAAACTAGGCTACTACATCAAAAGAATTACATTTGAACTTAGCAGTGAAATAAACAAAATACTAGACTTTACATGATTGTACATAATCGTTCCTAATCTAGCACAAAAATAAACGACATTTCTAGATGTGTCACTCGGGATCCAAATACCCCTCTAATAAAGCTTCTCCATGGCCTGGCTCGTTAGCATCGAGCTCCTCCTCTGCCCCATAATCTGTAAAATGTTTAACTGTAGGAGATGAGCACGAAGCTCTGTAAGAAAAATCCTCTCAAACTCAAACAAGGTTTAAAAAAATAGATAAAAATAGGTTGGTCTCATTTTGTAAATAACACATATCAATTTTAAAGGAAAAACATTACATTTTAAATAGATCCCAAGTTTAAGCCGTAACAATAATCAAGTGAAAGGATAAAGTACATTTCACAACAATATACCATTTTCAACTTTAAACCATTTAGAAAGGGCGTCTTCCAATGCATTGTCTCATACCAATGCACTGGCAAGACGATCCAACCCATCATCCCATGTATTTTGGTTTATTCCCTTATCCTATATGTTGATTGCTTCTCATAAATCTACCTAACGATTATACCTAGTCCACCAATCACAATCACAATTACAAACACTTTAGGAAAGGGCGTCTACCATCCCAATGGCAGTGACGAGTCCCTTCCCAGAAAAAATATATCATCCCTTGTTCGAACTCTAGTGAACGATAGTGATTGCATTACCAAATGACAATCCACTACAAGTGTTAGGAAACCATCTCACCTCCAATGGAATAAACTAACCTCTAACACTCTACGACATCTCTCGATGGCAATCCAAGTCCATCACAACAACCATACAAATGAGGAAACCAAAATATTCTCAATTCACCAACAATTCTAAATAATATACAAAATTCACAATTTCTTATTTTACAAGCATATCTCAAAAATTCTCAAATTTATCATATAACAATTTCAATAACCAATTAAGAAAAAATACAAGAGATCACAACATCATTTATTACCCAACACAATGCACTAGAGTTTTAGAAATCAAGAATAAATGAATATTGAGAGAAAAATCCATCTCTCATGAGAATAAGGGTTTTCAAAACAAGAAATAGAGATTTCATGGCAGTTCAACCATAACCTTGTTTAAACATGATAATATTTGCAAGAATATTAAACATCAAAGATTTACTAACACATATATAAGAGTTAGAGTCAAAAGCATATATATATAGCCCTAGTCTCAATAAACAAGAGTGAGAGAAACCCCTACCTTGAATCAAAAATTTCAAGTGAAAGCCCAAGCCCTAAAGACCTCATTTCTCTTTCCTTTCTTTCTTTTACCTTCTCCTAGGGTTCCAAGAGGTATGGGGGTGAGAGTGGAATGAAAGAAATGAGGGTAAAAGGGCTAAAATCAGTGTTTTAAACACAGCCAATCCCGAAAAACACTGTTCACAGTCTGTTTTTGTTTTCTCCAAAATTACGGTTTTATCACTAAAAATCTCTAATTTGATCCATATGACTACCCTAAGGTTTTTCAACGTTTCGGATTCATTTTTAATGTTATTTTAATCTAAAAATATTTATTTTTATGATTTATTTCAAAACTAAAATAAATTTACATTCGAAACATTAAAATTACTATTTTATTTCTCCCTAGTATTTATTCTTACGGTTTCAATATATATGGTTTATTCTTACGTCATTACATATATAAGAATCACTAAATAAGTACATTACTATATTAATATAAACATGTGAGGGTTTATACCTTCCAAGTTTAAGAAGAAAACACAATACTTTATCATCCAATGAACACCACAGTGTAGATTTTTTATCAATTTCGGATAATAAACTAATTTGACTCAGGTATTGCTAGTATATGTGACCTATATGGTTGGAAAAATATACGAGTTATGGTTCTTACAAAAATAACGGGTGCACAATTTAAACTTTCCAATAAAGAGTTATGATAAAATTGGTGAAAGATAGTCTGCCGGATTGCTTGGTTCTTTTATACTTGTCTAACTCGAGTTTGAGTGTCTTTTGTCACAAATTCTATCTCATACTCATCTCCAATATAGATAGTATGACTTGTATAAAGATCCATGTCTAGCATCATTCATTAACCAAAACCAAATTATCATCCGTCTCCTAGAATCATTTATAACAACATGAAGTAGAACTAGTATATCCACAACATTTTTCTTCAATTCCTCTACGCTAGCTAATTGATGAGAATGTAAAATGTCATATTTTTTTCTTTTAATATTTAGCCTTTTATACTTATTTGGAACTTAAATATACTTATTATTCTTATATTTTGATTTAAGATATAAATAGAGACGTCAAATACAAAATGAAGCTAATTGAACGATTGTTGATAGTTTAGACATGTGAGAGTTTACAGCCATCTTCACATTTGGTTATTTTTTAGTGTAAATAATATTATATTACTTGAAATTTACAAAAGAAAACTCTAGGATACAAGACAATTGTTGAATATCCATTGACTGATTTCAGCTATTAAAAAATTGAACATGCAACTAAGATATCATCTTTTTTCTTATTGTTAAAAATGACAAAATAAAGTTGACAATATAGATTCCAATTTATAGTTTGCATAGAGTTAGATCTAAGAAGAAAGAAAACCTCAAGAAACTATGAAAAACCAATTGTGCGAGAAAACATAAAGTACATGGAAAAACTAAAACTTCGGATGAAATTGGGGACTTTGAAGGAACCAATTGGACTCACTTGGAAGCGGAGTGAAAGAAACGGATGAGAGATAAAAAAATAAAAATAAAAAATTACTTTTAAATAATGTCTTTAAGTGTACAATAGCTTACATCCCGTATTTTTAATTTTTTTTTGGAAATTGTTTCTGAAAGGTGGCGAAACCATGTTATTATTATTCTCTGACATTCTTAATTTTTGTTCTTAATTTTTAAAAAATTGGATACAAAGATCTGCTGTCCAAATAAAAAATTATTTTACAAACCAAAAGGCCCTTAAAATCTCAAGACCGATGGTCTACTGTTTTACTTCCCTGTGTCTTCCCCATTACCTTCTGTATTTTTTGTCAGGAGTTTGGGGATAGCAACAGACTATGAGTCAAAACAGAGCGCCTCTTAGCGATAGGTCATATCTGTGAATACTACCGTCAAGCGATCTTCACCTCAATGGTCTTCGTCTTCTTAGGCTCCGGAGGAGGTAATTTCCCAACGGTTACAGTCACCGCTCCATCCTGACAAACCGCAGAGATAGCGTCAGTGTTAGCAGTCTCAGGCAGCACAAACTTCCTCATGAACTTGCCGATCCTCCTCTTCATCCTCACAAACACGGCACCTTCTTTCTTCTCCTCCCTCTTTCTCTCGCCACTGATCACCGACACGTTGTCATACTCTACCTGAACCTTGATGTCTCCACTCTTCAATCCGGGCATGTCAATGAAGAAGGCATAGGATTTGGGATACTCTATCACGTCCGCCAGAGTTTCTGCCATTGCTTTCGCGTCGAGAAGTAGTAACTGACAAAAGGTGATCTGGTGTCACTAATTAATAATATTAAAATAAAAAAAATGAAAAATTAATAACTAACTTTCATATAATTAAATAATTCTTCACATTCCTTCCACATAAGTTTAAGTGAATTATCTTACTCATTTAAAATTTTATTATTGATCGATGATATTGAGGAAGATATAACATGATTGCATTCAATATTAACTCGTAGGCACCGGTGGGGGCGTTTGACTTGTCGAGATCCAATAGACTGAGATCCAATTTTGTCTTGGATGCGGGGTATTCTGGAAGTTGGCCAGGGCTGGCTCAATGCTAGAGCTATTGAAGCCCCCCTTTAAGAAAAAAATATTGGGTGCAACGGTTACACCAATCAACTAATGAATCTTTAGTCTCTTTATCTTGTGAAGGTTTTGAATTTTTGAGATTAAAGATTCAAGTCTACTCTCCCCCTTTCTCTCCCAAAAAAAAATGATTACACCAATCACGTTATTATGTTGATATAGTGTTATCATCTAATAATAAAATAACAAATGAAGAAGTGGATTTTACATGAATATTTTATTATTGAATGATTACATAATGTCAACATAATGATGTGGTGTAATCATTACAGTCAATATTTACTCCGCTTTTCGACTCTATTTTTAAGGAGGTTTGATTAAGTTTAATGTTATTTTTAACATTTTAAATAAAATTTTTAGATTAATATTTAATTAAGTCTAATTTTTCTTTAAGTATCCCAAATAAAACGTGTAGACATAGGTTCTATTAAGTCTAATTTTATTCTTAAGAGAGGGAGTTTCAGCGGAGAGATATAGCAAAGAAAATAGCATCTAACCATGAGTATTAGTTGAGCTATAAGACTCGAGTATTTGAATGTTGACTTGACATGTAGTGAATTAGGCTTTAGTGAACCCCGAATAGTTCTCCGCAGTTTTTCCCGAAGAGGGTTTTTCGCACCACCAAATTGTTTGTCTATTATCGATTGTTGTACACACTTGCAATTACGAGCACACATGCACACTATGTGTTTAATGTTTTTATTATTTGATATCATATCATCCATAGTTGTGTAAATTGAGTTTGTGGAATTTGGGATTGCTGTGAAATTGATTGAAAGTAAATTAATTGCATATTAATTAAAATCAATTGTCATAGTTAATTGGGTTGGTGGTATTTGAAAGGGGTTCTCATCGATAATTTTCACATTTGATTGAAAAGAGAGAATTGAGATATCCATATGTTTTATTTTATAATTGATTTGGGCTAAAATCAAAAAACTTATTCACCTCTCCTCCCAATAAAATTTTTAAAATTCATATTCAAATAAGTCCACTTTTATTTTTAGTTCTCCAAAAAAAATTTGAGACACAATTCAATTAAGCCAAAATTTATTTTTAAAGCCTCAAATAATTTCTATACTCATGTTCAATAAAACCCAAATTAATTTTTAAGATCTCTAAACATTGGTAGTGAAAGATCCTCAAGTTCAATAGTAGTTATAGGACCCCTACACTAATATGATACTAATTTAGTGATATAACACTTTTTTTAGTACACTATTACCAGCAAATTTGGGTAGCTTGAAAATTATTTTATTTATTAATTTTTCTAAAATTCAATAATCTTTTGATAAGTTAGAATTCTTTAGATTTAATTTGAGTTTGTTGAGAATTTGTAAATTCTGTTAATAGCAACATAAGACATCATTTGAGTCTCTGATATATTAGCTTTAAGTGTTATTATTTATAATTGTTTTCTCTTCATTGATTGTACTAACATGAAATATAATAAAATTTTAACTTACCACTATATCATATATCACATATCACATATTATTTGAATTAATTATACTATCTATGAAAAAATATTTTAACAAAACTTAAATATTAAAAATTACGGACGGACTTTATTGATGGAGTACTGACCAAAAAACTTAATTTGCTGTAACATTTAACTTTTTTATTAGGACTCGTGTCACTAAATTAAGTTAATTTTTTGAGTAATGTTATTAGGACCTTTAAAATGATTTAATTTATTGATATAATAATGCGTTAAGTGATAGAGTTCTAATGAAGAAGTTTAAGGGTTATAGTCACAATCACATTATTGAACTATGTTACTGCATATTTACACCCAAATAATAAAAGATCTAAGGGTGACACGTAGCAGGACAAACAACAAGGATCAAGTCAGCAGAGATTCAAATGACATAAGACAGAGAAGACAAATCGGATATGTAATTTATCAATGTGGGGTGCAAGGGCAACGTCGGGATTATTATAACTCACTAATAAGCTGAAGGGTTAATTATAATTTGTCCCTTATGGTTATGCCACTTATTACAATCAACTTCATGAGGTTTTAAATTTTGCAATTTGTCCCTTCTGAATTTCAAGTGCACTAAATTAATGGACAGCATCAACTGAAATAAGATGGTACAATTACACACTCTCCATCTTATACATTATTTTTTATTTTTTATTTTTTTTGTGAGATACAAATTCTATCTGTATTAAATAAAAAAACAAAAATAAATTCAATCAGCTCAACACGAGCACACTACACAACACCATGTGCATCTTCACCTTCACCTCCACCTCCAACTCTACCCAACACCAACACACATGCACGCACGCACACACACACACACGCTCACTTTTCTTGAGGAAAATCCCACAAAAGTAGAAAGGCGGTGAATGAGGAGTGTATCATGGGAAGGAAGGAACAAATTATCGGAGATGAAGGAATTACCATTATTGAGAGCCTTAGAGGGAGGCAGAACATGGAAAGAGAAAAATAAGGAAAGGGAAATATTGGAGGAAGGAAGGTTCCAGAAAATTGATTACATAATCCCGGTGCATAATGGCAGTTCAAATGAGAGGGATATTTTTTTGGATAAGGGTGATAGTTTGAAAGGAAATTGGGTTGTTGATAAGGGCCTAGTTTAGAGAATGGAGTGGCCGGGGTTTTAGGAGGGTCGAGTAACTAGCATATTCCAGAAAGTGACAAGATGGAGCAATGGGCTATTGAAAATTTTATGGACTCACCCATTTCCTATCTGGGCCAGCTCAAACATCTATCTAAATTGGGAGAAACAGAAGGAATTAACGAAACTACCTGCATTCAAGAATCGATAGGTACGAAAAAATGGAGAAGAAAGGAGAAGGGCACTATTCCTCCACTTCGAACAAGTTCCCAAATGAATCCAAATGGAAAACGAAAGCAGGGTGAAGGTAACAAGGATCGGACTTCAGGTTTGGGAGGGAATGCTAAGAAAAAAGTTAAAGTAAGTTTTGAACCAAGGGTTTTATCTGTGGAACAAATGGAAGAGATAACGGTGGGATCTGGTCTCCAGACCCACCGATCATCATGAAACTTCTTAGTTGGAACTGCCAGGGCTTGGGGCATCCTCGGACAGTTCAAGACTTGCGTGATTTCGTAAAGAAAGAGCGGCCCAATTTTGTCTTCGTGTCGTAGACAAAGTGTAATACTAGGAAAATTGAAGTTTTGAAAGTGATGTTTGGCATGTGTGGTGTGGCAGTAGAGGCGCATGGGAGTTCAAGGGGTTTAGCGTTGTTATGGCAGAAGGATCTAAATGTGGTGTTGCAGAGTCCCTCCGGTGGACACATTGATGTCGTGGTTAATGTGGGGGGTGATAGCAGATCATGGAGGTTAACGGGGATTTACGGGGAATCAGAGATTTAGAAGCGTAGGGATACTTGGGCTTTGTTAACCCATCTGAGAAGTAGAAATAATATGTCGTGGGTCTATGCAGGGGATTTCAACGAAATACTTTCACAAGATGAGAAGAAAGGGAGAGGAGGAAGGGCGGAATGGCATATGAGAGATTTCCGTCAAGCTTTGGACAACTGTGCATTGATGGATTTGGGGTATGTGGGATTCCCTTTCACTTGGTGTAACAATTGGAAGGAACCACATACGGTGTAGGAAAGGTTGGACAGAGTGTCTGCATATCTGGCATGGATTACAAAATTTCCTAACTCGAGAGTTTGTCACAAATTCTCGAAAGAGTCAGACCTCTACAAAGTCTTATTGGATAGTAACATGGGGTTGAGGACTCAAGTGTGGTGTCCAAAGAAAAGATTGTTCCGATTCAAAGCGGCGTGGGTGAAGAGAGAAGGATGTGAGGAGATTATTCAGGAGGCCTGGAATTCTATTGTACATAGTTCTGGGGCTCATGGGTTTTCAAAGAAAATTCAAAGCTGCAGAGTGGAGTTACTTAAGTGGAAACAGGTGCAGGTTGGTCAGATTCCAGTTAAGATAGAAGGTTTGAAAGGCAAGCTGGTAAATATAAAGCAAAGTGGTATAACAGAGATTTCTAGGCAACAAGCTCAAAGTGTGGAAAAGGAATTGAATAATCTACTTGATATGGAGGAGACTTATTGGCGTCAAAGATCAAAAGTTCTTTGGATGAAGGAAGGGGATAAGAACACAACTTTTTTCCATGCCTGGGCATCACAACGACGAAGAAGAAACACAATTATAAAGCTCAAGAATGGAGATGGGGGTTGGTGTGAAAACTAGGATGAAATGGAACAAGTGGCTGTGGGGTATTTCAAGAATATGTTTACATCTAGTAGACCACAAACCCAAGAATTAGAGGAAGTGTCAAGTAAGGTGGACCGCAAGGTGTCCGATGGAATGAATTCAAGGCTTTTGCAGACGTTCCGAATTGATGAGGTAACAATTGCAATTTCCCAAATATTTCCTACTAAATCTCCTAGTCCCGATGGAATGCCACCTATTTTTTTTCAGAAGTACTAGCATATTGTCGGGCCGGATGTTGTAAACTGTGTCTTGAGCTTTCTAAATGGTGGTCAATTTCCAGTTAAGTTTAACTATACTCACATTGTCCTCATTCCTAAATGTGAGAATACAGAGTCTATGCATGAGTTTAGACCTATTAGTTTATGTAATGTCATTTATAAAATTAATTCAAAAATCTTAGCTAATCATCTAAAGTATGTACTTCCATCGGTTA